ACCTTTCGAGAAGTATTATCAGCACCGCCCACAGCTCACGATGTTGGAGGGGTTTGCCAACGGGGCAACGTGGGAGCCGCAGCTTTCGGCGCCCGATCACAAAACGAAGCTCACCCCACCCGTCCCTTATTGTCCACCGCGGAGTTATCTCATGGGGTTGGCCGAGCGCTTGGCGGTCGTCCCGGGTAGCTGCTTTGGCCGACGATCTCTGATGTGGGGCCACTGGTTCTAATCGAACGGGGGGTTTCATTTCGTAGAGTGGATTCTATTGGTACACGCAAAGGGTAGAATTTTCTTTGTTGTTTTGGGTTTCTCGGTTGCCCTCAGCGGTTGGGAACCGGTTTCCTTTACCCTGTGTATTAATAGAATACCTTTAATCGCTAAATGCCTGTCGTTTTCTGATTTTGTGCAACACGCACGTATCGTATTAGAACCATAAAAGGTTTTTATATGAAGTCGGATAACGTTTATTATAACTTATCTACAGAATGATTACACCAAACAACTATGTCGGTACATGCTCTTATTTCAGTTTCTTTATCGGATTTCCTTTTCATTATTGCAATATATACTTATACTGTTGTTAGTACTGCGTTAGGTAGTTCCATTTAAAATTCTTTTCGGTATTACATTCGTCTTGTAGCATAAACTGTTTAAGAATGTTGTCCATGTTCAAAGAGAAGAAAGGGTTCTCAGTGCTCTTTTCAAATCGAAGTGATGATATAAAGGCAAGTGCGTCCAACACTCCGAGAACTTTTTCTCGCATCTCAGGCGAACATTTTCATGCCCAGACAAAATTTAGTCGTTGCCAGCGTTGTGGTAAGAACTTCAAAATATCGAGTCAGCAATCGACATTTTCATACACTTGCCTGCGCTGCGGTTACCCTGTCTGCAAGTTTTGCTCCGAGCCTACAAACTACCCGGAGGTGCATGTTTGCTATATCTGCGGCAAATCGATTTCGTTTATGAAGTTGTTTGATAAAACTTCTTATGGGGCTAATCTTGTGGTACGCGTCTTGGAGTACTGTGATCCACGCGCCGAGCGTATTATGAAGTCCTTTTTCCGTTCTGCGATAAATCTGACAATGACTGGTCTGGAAGCAAATCACTGTTTCCCAGGGTCGAACAAAAAGGAGGATCTCATGCCAAACTCTACCTCTTTTTTAAAATCAGGCAGCAATTCGTGTGAAATGATTCACCCTTTCACTTTAGGCAATGACGGCATTGCTAATCGGAAGCTCAACTTTGACGATAACTTAACAAACCAGCCACAAACGAAATACATGGGTGTTTTAAATGTCAAGTCGCATAGCCAAGCCAATCAGCAAGAAACTCTCGCACGTACCACCACAACCCACCGCGACGTTTCCCCGAAGGCAACCCACCTTCCCTTCGACAACGCTCCAGCCGCTTATAACCTTACAGAGGATATCGAAAATTCGCCACCGGTATCGAAAGCCATTCTTTTTACTGATCAGCGCTTAAATATTGATCCAATCGTTTCTAATCATTATTCTTTCTCCATGAGCTTGTCAATTGATCGAAACCTACCTAGCGAGGATCCCAACAAATTCCGTACCTTTGAGCGCGAGCTGACTTTCGCCAGCCGGACCGTTTCCATAGTCACCGAAGAGAGCAAACGCTTTTCGCGTGATGAGAAAGGAGCCAATGCGCTCGGCACCCTTGCGGAGAAGGGGGCCGAGATCGTCCTGGAGCTCGCCCCTCCCCCGGATCCCGCCCCGGGCCTTTCGCTTCCCCACGTCAACCCCGGATTGGACCTGAGCCCGACCTCGAACCAATCCGATCGCAGCACGAGCCCCGCCCCGCGCTTCCCCACCTTTACCCAATTTCTGGATGACCAGAAGAGGACGACGGGCCACGTGTATAGCACGGAGTGTCTCGTGACGGTGTCGCCCGAGTCCGAGGAGCTCGTGGTGGCGCTCGGGGCCAAGCGGGGGAGCATGAAACTCAAGCTCTCCCAAACAACGCGGTGTGAGGTGATAACCCCGTCACTGCAGCCTTCGGGGACCGTGTCCTCCGAGAAGAATTCGTCCAAAAGGAAAACTAAAGGGAGTCTCTCGCGTCCCTCTTCCTTTATTCAATCGCAATCCACTATTCCGCATGCCGTGCCGTATCCTAGTCAGAACTCAAGGATATTGCACCCTACTATTGCAGGTGTCTCTTTCGTTACGCATAAGGGTGCAAAAACAAAGTTGAAAAATTCAGACACCCTAATAAAAAATCGAAAAACAGAGGCAACACCCTTCGAACATCCTCATTTTTATAAACAGATGGTGGTTAGCATTAGTCCTGCAGAATCAAAAGGTTCTAATGGCTTTCAACGCGTTCCAGCAAGTCATTCTACGCTTAACCTAACACGTCACTCAACTTCCAGACATAACCATTATACCGAATTTCGACGACAGCGGACGACTATAAAGACTCCCAAAGGCTTAACGCGTAACGTTTCTGTGAATACGAATCTGTTGTACCGTACCCAGAGTAAAAATAATTCGCTTATACCAGACAGCTCTTTTAATCACGGCTACCCTAAAGATCGCAACACTGTCAGGGCCGCAACCGCGAAAAGGAGAAGCCCTAAGGTAAGTCGTATTCCGCAAAATCCATCCCTCCTTTTGCCGATTCCCACAACGAGACTCCTCCCTGGAGGGGGTTCCGCCGCCACCACAACGCGCTTGATGCGAACCAATTCCGCTGTCCCCACCATCCCATGCGTGGCCACGCCTTCGACACCGCCGGCCTTGACGGCCTCTCCCCTGAAACGGGGGCCATCCCATTACGCGCCGATCTTCCGCACCCGCTCGGCCTTCTCCCCACTAACGCGAACCCACTCGGCGCTGGCCCCGGTGCGGCCCTTTAGTC